AGAAATGATATCGATTTCTATTTTTTTAAAACAAATGATATTGATCTACAAGTACAAACAACTTCAATTTTTTTTTATTTTTTTTAATTGCATGATTTGTGATTTCATTTTTGTCAAATGTATTCTTTTCAGTCAGTCCATAGTTAAACATAGTGACTGGACTGGCTGCCATCGATTTTATCGATGGTAAGCCACAAATTCTTCTTCAATTTAATGTCTTTTGCTAATAATAATCGGTTCCTCCATGAATGTAGGGTTTAATCGATTCCCTCATGGTGGTTAGTATTGTTTATTTGTTTGTTTTTCCATGTGTGCAAGGATACACATTTGAAAGATTTTTCTTGCAAATTTGTGAAATTGCATGTCTGATGAGATAGGATTGCAAGTTTAAAAGATCCGTCTTGCAAATTTGTGAAATTGCATGTTTGATGAGATAGGGTTGCAAATTTGAAAGATTCTTGCAAATTTGCCGATTTTTATAACCAATTAAGTACCATTACCTTTGCGACTATACATCAATGGAGCTCCGTCAAGAACGATGCAAAAATATCTAAAATTATTCAGTGATGCCATTAGTTTAAGGGTATTTAATACTTGTATTGAGAATTTATATCTCTTAAGGGATTATTGTAAGTGTCAAGTGTCTCTTACTCTACTATTTAATGAAATCACCCCTCCCTATTCCATTCAAAAAATGCATTACTTTCAGGGGCAGTTTGGTTGGGGGTATTCAACAAAGAGAATGGGAATCAACGGGAATCATTCCCTTTATTGTTGTTTGTTAGGCCACTTTTTCATTCCCCTTTACCCCCTTCATTCCCCCAAATCCCTCTAAGTTAATTCCCCACCCCCAAGCCTTTTCCATTCCCTTTCCTTAGCCAGCATTACACCACCATGCCTACACCAGCCAACACCCTTCTACCCTACCCCCACCGCATAACCACCACCCAGCCACCTCACCGCTTTTCCCCCGGCCATCGCCGTCCCTTCTCCGCCACTCGCCGACCTCCGATAAGCTCGCACCTCACTCGAAAATCTTCCCCAACCCCTCGTCAAAACTCACTGCCCTTGTTTGCACCTCCCTCACCCCTTGCCGGGGGTTGTCACACCTCCCTCATCCCTCAAAAACCTTCCCCGACCCCTCGTCGGCCATCATTTCCCCGGCCTGTTAGGATTGAGCAAAATTCGAATAGAAGAAAAATTAGGGTATTGATGATTGGGGTTTTCTGGGGTTTGGAGCTTGGAATTGACGGCAATGGCTGGTTCAGAGGAGAAGGAAAGGTGAAAGGGATTAGGGGAAGGTTTTCCGGGGAGGGGGAGATATTTTCGGGGGAGGGGAGGTGGTGTATGAGGGTCTAACGTGGTGTATCTTTTCAATTTATTGGTTTGATCTTATCTCATGTTTTGAATCAATTGATGTGCTGTTATATTTTTCTTAAAAAGTATTTTCGAGAACCTAATAACATTATCTTAATAAATAAGTAATTCCAATTATTTGACAACATGGATTATGAAAAGTTATTTAAGGTTCCTCAAAAGAAAAAAAGAAAAAAAAATGGAGATATGGTCTATTTAGTGATAAGTTTTTAAAATAGAGTAATATGGCATAACAGTTACCTATGTTTAAATTAGTTCAAATTATTTTTACTTATCAAATACTCATTAAAATTATTTCCATTGATACAATCCAGAAATTGACTTTTCCCAACAATAATAGAGTAAATATGACATAGCATTAGCCTATGTCTGTCATCATTATGATAACCAGGACATATACAAATTATACAGAACCAACAATAATAGATCAATGAGCCTTGCCCCTCGTTTGTACCAAAGAAAAAACAAAATAATAATAATAATAATAATAATAATAATAATAATAATAATAATAATAATAATAAATAAATAAATAAAACGGTGAAAATATAATCTTGCAGGCTTCCATCATTTTATGTAAATCAATCGTTGATCGTGCCAGTTGATAAATTGCATAATAAAACCCGCCCTCTTGCAAAATTAACACTTATGACTGAATTGACTTCTTAATTATGATCATTGTTCATTGCGTGGGACATTAGATGAGTTTATATAAGATTTAAAAAATACTGGATTTAAATTGGTGATACATAACTTAATGTTTTAGATAAATAATTGATAAATAATGAACAATTTTTTCTTTGCTGGAAAAAGAATATATTTTTAATTTAAATGATTTTTTTTCTTATTTTTTATATCTAATCAAAAACTGATACTTTTTTTTTTTTTGAGAAAACTGATATTTTCTTTATTGAACTTGATATCATTTTTTTTATTAGTATTTCATATAAAATATTTTTTAATAATCACTTGTCATATTTTCATTATTTTTTTTATGAAATCCAATTTTTTTTTAAATATCAATTAAATGTGAATTTCATTTTTTAAGTTTAATAGTATTTTTTTTATATACAAAATAAAATAAATTGTTTCTTTTCTCTTAGATAAAACTTTCAATTCATAATAAATTTAAAATTTAATTTTAATCTTACGTGGTGCTTTAAAATAATAATCATACGTGGCATAATCCTACACGTAACGCTCTAAAAATACTAATCCTACATGACACTCTAATAATATTTATAAAATTAAAATCCTAGGTGGCTCTCTAATAATGTGTGTGTGTGTGTGTATATATATATATATATTAGATTGGTCAAACTTATTAAAATAATAATAATTTTGAAAACTATTAACAAAATAGTGGAAACAAAAATCAATGTCAAATGAGCCCTTAATTATTGTATCTGTTTTTTTTTTTTTTTAAATCATACACAATTATTTACATTTTTTCTTACTTTATTCAACTTTTTCTTATACACACCCACCAACTCACCACTTTCAATCCAATTTTCTTAATTTGTATGCAAATAATAAGTGTTAAGAAATTTCGGCTTAAGAGGTCGTAAGAAGTCATAGTACAGTATAACATTATTATTATTATTATTGTTGTTGTTGTTGTTGTTGTTGTTGTTGTTGTTGTTGTTGTTGTTGTTGTTGTTGTTGTTGTTGTTGTTGTTGTTGTTGTTGTTGTTGTTATTATTATTATTACGTAGTATTGCTATTATTAATTTTTTTTTGAAAGAAGTCCTAAAGGATATTAAGTTTCATTAAATAAAGTCATACGACCTCTACAATTGACAATTAACAATAATGAAAACAGATTTAACAAAATCAAACAAGAATTTATCGAAGAAGGGCTAAGAATCCAAACACATAGATATAACACGCACTTCGGCAGATACTTGATTCGTTGCCTTATATAACCTTTTGAGTGGATCCGTCACCGCTTCATGAATTTGGGAGAAAGAAATTCTTGTGCTGATTTCGTAACCCGAATCCGAGCCATAATCAATCGTAGCCCCGCATAACTAGAGACCCTATTAAGCATAAATAAAACCTTGTATTTCGAAAGAGGTCGAAAAAACCTTGTTTGAATGAGATAAACCCTTTCTTTCGAGAAAGACATTATTATAACCTAAAATACACAAAAAAAATAAAAAAAAATAAAAAAAAATGAAAAAGAAATAAAGATTGGGCTTTCCACTGGTGAAATCCGATGAAAACTCCTTCAAAATTAACAATGAAGGCTAGAGTTTAGGAGAGAGAAGAGGGAGAAGAGAGAGAGTTTAGGAGAGAGAAGTATTATTAATATTAAAGTGAGTGGTTTTTTTTTTTTTTTTCTCCGTGTGAATATGTAACTCCGAAAAAGTCCATCTTTGAAGCATTAGAACATCATCCTACATTCCTACCAACTCATTTGAAGTACATTTTTCCTTTTGTTTATCCAAGCTAGAAACTAATAACGATCCAAATCCTAGCAAGATGAGCATCAAAGTGAAGGAATCCACCATGATAACCCCGGCCGAGGCGACCCCTAGTACCCGTCTTTGGCTATCAAAGCTAGACATGATAATATGCACACCTTACTCACATACTAATGTTCTCTTCCTCTATGATTATAATAGCCTTTCTTCTCCTACGCATTTACCTTCATCCAATTTTTTTGACACAAACATTCTCAAGGAGTCTCTTAGTAGAGCCCTAGTGCCATTCTATCCAATGGCAGGCAGATTAATATTCAACCACGAAAATGGTCGATATGAGATCGATTGCAATGCAAAAGGAGCCTTGTTTATCGAGGTGGAATCAACACAAGCTCTTGTCGATTAAGGGGACTATTTGAAGCCAGATTGTCAACTTAGGAAAATGGTGTTCCCAACGTGTGACTACTCCGAGGGGCTTTCGTCGTTCCCTCTTCTACTAGTGCAACTCACCCGCTTTAAATGTGGGAGTGTATGCCTAGGCTTTGCACAATATCATCACGTAGGAGATGGATATTCGCATTTACATTTTATCAATTCATGGGCAAGACTAGCTAAGGGGCTTGACCTCATTGTTCACCCTATCCATGATAGGGCTAGCTATCTTGCTCCTCGCGACCCGCCACAAGTTAAGTTTCAGCGCTTGGAGCATGAGCAAACTTTAGCTCCCAAGGACTTGTTAGGTATGGACGCTATTATACCATTTTATTTTGAAAATTGTTTAGTGGTCGTTTGAAATATGACTATCGTAATGTTTTAATAATTATGTAGATCATGATTGACATATTTTTCTGCAAGTAATTAATTATATTACTTCATTTTTGTTATAAAATATAATTATCAACGTTTTTTTAATTTATGGTTTTTTGAACAATATGTATTTTATGTTGGATTAAAATCTTCAAAAATTATATTTGTATGGTAGATATTAGAATACTAATTAATTGTGTCTAATTTATAGTGTGAAAAAATACATTGCTCATATTGTTTATCATTAAAATAATATGATAGTTATATTTCAAACGATCGCTTTACTTTTTTCACTATTCGTGTACTTTTCATTCTGCGATTATTCATATAATAAGTTTGACCCTATTATTATGATATATATTCTGACATTCAAATCTTAGATGTGTTTTGATACAATATATTATATCAGGTGAGATGGAGACAGAAGAGTGCGTCTTCCAAATCACAAAACAACAAATGAGTACTTTAAAACTACAAGCAACATCACCCGAAGGTACCAGGCTAAGTACATTTGAGGTACAAGCCGGGCATGTGTGGCGCAGTGTATGCAAGGCGCGTGGATTAGCAGATGATGACGACGTCAAACCTTACATACCCATAGATGGACGATCAAGATTGAAGGATAGAACACTGCCACAAAATTATTGCGGCAATATCCTCTTACACGCAGTTTGTGTAGAAAAAGTAAGGGATGTAACCACAAAACCATTATGGTTTGCCGCAACTAAGGTTCGAGAGGCAGTGAAAAAATTGGACGATATAGAGTACTTAAGATCGTCCATTGATTATGTCGAATCACATCCAGATATAGCGGCTATTACTCTTGGGCCTCATACTTTTACTTCCCCAAACCTCACAATTAACTCTTGGGCAAGATTGCCTTGTTTTGAAGCTGATTTTGGGTTGGATGGACCAAAGTTTGTGGAAATTAATGGAATCAAATATGAAGGAATAACATACATTACATCAAGTCCAAATGGGGATGGTAGCTTTTTAGTGGCCATTAAGCTTTTTACCCCTGATATGATACTCTTCAAAAACTACTTTTACAACTTCTAAATAATGTATTACCTTCTCTGTCCCAAAATTTTCGTGCCCGTATTCTATCTTGGGTAGTATTCTAAAATGTTGTGTTTATTTCTAATCTTTCTATTTTTATTTCAAGGAAATTACTTCTATACCCCCTTGTACTTTTCACCTTTTCTTATAATAAACTCTGCTAAATATTTTTTATGCGGATGCAATTGTTCAATACGAATTCCTTGATGAAGATTTTTGGTTTATTAAATTTTTTGTGAGGAATTTTGCGATTTAGCAGAGTTCCTGCCTCCCTTTAGCATATTCAGGAGCGGGCGTGCACCTCAATATGAGTGGGTGCTCCTACACCTTTCACAACAAACTGTATCAGTTGTCAACACCAGGAGCGAGCGCGCAGGAGTCCTCCCCTAATAGTTCGAATCTTTCTCCTTTCTGAAACAGGAGGAACGGGCGCACTTCATCCCTAGGAGCGAGCGCTTGTCCTCTATTATCTTCAATCTGCCTTATTGAAGATAAGAGGAGCGAGCGCTCCTATGTGTTCTGCGCAACACTTTTTGAGGGATTTACCTATGAATTCGGGGAGTATAAATACTACCCCTTTGGTTCATTTTAAGGACATCAGTCTTAGAATAGTTTTTAGCAACTTTCACTTAGTTAGCAACTTAGTTCATTAATTTAGTTGGTAATTTAGTGTAGAAATTCTCAAATCGATCTAATCATTTTGGAAGTAAATTCAAGGTTTATTCTCTAATTTTCAGCAATTGTATTCAACATTGAAGCTTCAGCTTAGTAATTTCATCACTTTTCTCTAGTTAATTTTCTGATTTTTATTTTGATATTGCAATTCAAGTTCTTGAATCTCTTTTGATCTTGTTAAATTATTGTTGCATGTTAGTTTTATCTCTAGTAAATCACTTTTCCCCAATTGTTGAACTACTTAGAACCCTAATTTGTCACTTTGTATGTTACTCACCATGAGTTGTGGGTAGTCCTCTTTGCTGGGGGTTGGGTGAAACTCAACCTAATGGTTAACTAAGTGAGTTTGGGAGAAGTATTGATGATTGTTTTGTGATTAAATTGATTACATGAGATTGCTTGTTAATTCACTTTGATAGGAGTAGCTACCCTTGATTTTTGGGCTTGATGGCATGCTATTCTTGGTTTGACATGGGAATGTGGATTAAGTTTATCATTACTTATTGCAATTCCATTAATTATCTCCTATTGCTAAGCTAATGTGGGATCTAAGTTTAGGAGTGTGAGTTGTATTCTTAATTGCATGAAGTTGGTCTTACATGTAGTCTTTGCTATCTTTTGTCTCTATTTGCTCCAAATTTGCTTGGTTACCACGGTTGAGGGGATCCCATTCCCTAGTGCTTGTAATTACTTGATTGAGAAACCATAGCTTGTTTGTCTAATCGACGAACCCCCGAACAACCAAAGTCTTCGAACTAGCTTGCGTGTTAAGATCATTAGCAATTATATCCCGTTCCTTGTGGACCGAACTCTTACTTATCATTGTGCTTGGTTTGTGAGATGTTTGTTAATAAATGTGTTTGAATGAGTGTGGAATGTGCCACTGTTCTAGCAGCCATCAAAATGGTGTCGTTGCCGGGGAGCGGTGTTGTTAATTGCTAAGTGATTGGTTGAGTCTAGTTCACCATAAAAGGAAAAAAATACAAAAAGAGTTTGTTTCTTTTTGGATACACTTGAAGCCTTGTTACTAATTGCAATTGTTAGGATCCAGAGATTGAACGAACTTATAGAAGAAGGAGAGCCGGCTCTAGGCCCTTCACTACTTTCTCAACTAAGGAGTTCAATTTCGAGGAACAACAAGAACAAATGGGTGAACCACCACCACCACCACAAAGACCTTTGAAGGAGTTGGGAACTCCAGGAGCTTATAGAGCTTCAAGTGGGATTGTTCCTCCAACAACCCCAGCCACTGATTTTGAGATTCAGCCCGCGATGATAAATTTGATAGAAAGGAGGCAATTTAGTGGAGCAAAGCACGAGAGCCCCCTTGCACACTTGAACGAGTTTGAGAAATATTGCAATACGATCAAGGTGAACGATGTCTCTTAAGAGTTTGTGAGATTAAAGCTTTTTCCTTTCTTCCTAATAGGAAGAGCTCTTAAGTGGCTTGAGAAGGAGGTAAGACCCAATTCTTTAAGAACTTGGGATGAAGTGACCACGGTTTTTCTAGGAAGGTTCTACTCTCCAAAGAAAACAGTCGAGGCAAAAGCATTGATCCATGGCTTTAGGCAAAGAGCTAGTGAAACCTTGTATGAGGCATGTGAAAGGTACAAGGAGTATCAAAGGGAGTGTCCTCACCATGGTATTCCCACCTACCAAGTGTTTCAAATTTTCTATAGAGGCCTGAGCCCCCAAGGTAAGACTAGTTTGGATGTGGGACACTAGTGGAAAATATGCTATTAGTAACTGCCAAAAAGTGGCTTTTAGCAACTGGCTTGTGGGGCTGCTGTTGCAGGGGCTACAAATGAGAATAATATTTGCAACTGGCACATGTTCACTGCTAATAGTCATTATTTGCAATTGGCATAGTTAGTAGCCCGTTGCAAATACTTCTTTTTTATGTTATAAAAACGAATTATTTACAACTGGTCATGGTTTTGCCCGCTAATAATACTGATTATTTGCAGCTGGCGTTAAACTAGGCCAGTTATTCGTAACTGGCCTAGTTTTAGGCCCGTTGCTAATAATGATTATTTGCAGCTGGCATTTAACTATGCCAGTTGCGAATAATATTTTTTATATAAATTTACGTGTCATTCGTAACTGGCCTAGTTTAGGCCCGTTGCTAATATTGCTTATTTGCATTTGGCATTTTACTTAGGCAAGTTGCAAATATATAAATATAATTATATTTTTTTTTATTGCAAAAAAAATAGTAAAACCTCACGTGAACCACCATAGATATAATAACCATTTGCCATCACAAAACTAATAATCAAGAAACAGTAATTTTTACAAAAAAAAATTGACAGAGTTTCCTTTGTAATTTCCTTTGTAATTTGAACTAATTCCCCCAATCAATTTGGGGATAATAATCAATCATCAACCTGTCAAATTACAATACGTCGTCCTTGTAATCATACATCAAACCTGTCAAAATTTGACATTGTTTCCTTTGTAATTTGAACTAATCCAACATCGTCTTAATAACCAGTTATCTTCACAATCACCAAAAAAAAAAATCTCAAATAAATATTAAAAGTTGAGTACACATTTCCATCTTAAAAATCTAAATAAAACTAAGATTAATCTTTCAATATATATTTATTTCTAAAGAACCTGGACCATTGCTCCCAAATTTCATTGAGCTCACCATCATTGTATGATGCATCTCTTCCCATGTATACCTTAATAAAAAATTAGAAATTAGGCAAAATGTTAGTCAAAGTAAATACGTAATACAATATACATACTACAATTTCATTGAGCTTATGGACAACTTTTTTTTTTAAACAAAACAAAGGAGATATATTATAATAAAGCCCTCAAAACAAGGCAAACATTATAGTAGCATCAATAAAGTTTGAGCAAAAAGAGATGCTAGGACTAAGATACTTAAAATAGTTCCATGGGAATAACATACTACCTAGCTAGTGCAGTCATAATTAAAACAGAAGCCGAAGATACTTAATATATTACAAGAGATTGAAATAGAATGGAAGACAAAAGATGGGCAAAACAAGCACAACATCAAGAATCATAGCAGCAGGGGCTTGAATCGCATTCAGAGCTTCCATTTGGGCATCAAACAGGTCCTTGATGAACTCCAAAACAGTCAAGTGATCTTTATGGCCAACTGCCATCTCAATCCCAAGAACACAATGGTTAATGCTACTGTGCTATCTTTGTTAGTATTTATATGGACTGCTAGCACTTATGTAATTGTCATATGAGTAGTCTAACTCTGATAAAAGTTCAGACTGCTAGCATAGAACTTTTACCAGAGTTAGAATTCAGACTGACCATATAAATTCAGGCTGCTCGGTATCAAACTAAACAGAATTAGAATTCTGACTGACCGTATAAATTCAGACTGCTTGGATAGAACTAACCAGAGTTAGAATTCAAACTTAGAGCAGTCCAACTCTGGTAAAAGTTCAGATGCTAGCAGCAGTGTGTTCTGACAATTAAGCAATGCAGAATCACTAGAAAGGGTAGTTGACAGTCATGAGAATGATGAGGGAAAGCTAGAGAAATTGGAGAAACAACCACATTCAGTAACACTACCTTAAGATACTGAACAATAGGGGGAAGGGAGGAAGTAGGCTGTTATTGAGTCTACATTAGGGGGGGGGGGTGGGGGAACGAGTATGAGAAAAAGGTTTAAGCACTTCAAGAAACAGCCACAATCCACTAAGATGCAGAGACAATCAACAAAGTAAAGCAAGTAACAATCAAGAAGCATAGCAGCACAACAAAGATAAAAACATATGAGATTGTTTGCACCCAACTGTCCTTTTAAACATATATTCATTAAAAGGGGTAAATTGACTGACCTCGTGAAAATCCTTTTATCCTTTTTTTCAGCAACAGAAATTCTCCCGGGGCATAGAAAGGTGATATTAGATAGCTGAAATAACGAGATATACTCGTCAAATAGATACCTACATATGAAAAAGCAGAAAAATTAAAATAGTTAGCACATTTTTTTTTTAGATAATATAGCAAATTAAAATAATAAAGTAAAATGAGTATAGGAGGTTTACGATATGCTTATTTCATTCATCCTTTTTGCCTCAAAAAGTTAATTAAAAAAAGCTTCAAAAGTTTTGGTAGCTCCCTATTTCACCCTATTGCTTTGATCAACCCCTGACTATGAAGTTAGTTGATATGAAGGCTATTCATCCTTTTGTAGATGGGCAAGCAAAGCCATATATACAACCTTATTTTATTTTATTAATTGTAACAACATAACAAACTTTTTTTTAGGGGCATAAGCAAATGCAAAAACAAAGGGGAAAAATATAAAGAGGAGATCACATTAGAAAAATCAAAGATTTCCCTTTTCGATATTCATCATATTAAGTAAGTATATTCTAGAATCTTTGCCTATCTTCTACGGTCAACATTTAGCATTAGTAGTGGGAGTAATTAAACAATGCTTGTTGATCTTTCTTTTGATCATCCAAACCTTTTATCCCAGACACACAAATAAACACGCTTAAGCACTTTCCCATGTAAACATTTAGTTAACATCCATAGCTATGTAACTGATAAAAATAGAACAGAGAAAAATCATTACACGCAACAATTTGTCAGAAGATAATGATTGAAGAAAATAAAATTTCACCATACCATTTCAAGGAATATTTATACATTTTTGCAAGTCGGGATCAAGGATATAATGCACTAGAGCAATTGTTACCTCTCCTGACATTGCTTGCCTATCCGACCAGGCCACCTCTTTGCAATGACAGACCAGCTCCTGCAACCATGCTTCTGAACCATCTCAATGATACAATCATCCTCCTAAAAGATTTTAGATAAGCCAATCAAACACAATATTTATAGGCATCAACAATATCAACCAGCACAATATCGAATCTCTAGAAGCAGCTTCTAGTGACAGAGTTTAAATTGTTTAATTCACCTCCTTTGTCCAAGGTCATTTAACCAGTTCGGGATTAAGAACTTTTTGCCACTGATGTAGGCATTGCACATCCGTCCTTCCCAGAAAATGCTCAGTTGTAGGATTACTAGGATATTCAAAGATACAATAAATAAACAACTTATAAACAACTACAAGAACTTTATAGTTAATAAACAACTATAAAAATGCTCAGCTGTAGGATATTCAAATATACAATCAATAAACATAAACAACATCGATGGATCAGCCTCAACCCATAATTTGAATGGATATTTCAATACTTAAAGAACAAAAAAAAAACCAAAAAAAAAAGAAACACTTCCTCAAATGGCAAACTAAAGTAAAACCGTTGTTAAATAATAATGTATATACCCAAGTTACACCAAAACTCAACCCTCACCCTACCCATACACACACAGCGCCACGAACATAGTTACTCACATAAACGGCATATATGGAATACAAGAAATGGTTGGATGAGTAAATCATCTAAAATATGAAAGTTTAATTTTGAAATTAAGGAATATGACATTACTACTTAAGATATGTCATATATATACCATACCTTATAAACACACTACAAATTAATTCCCCATCTTAAATACTCCTTTAACCTATTAAAAATCAGCCTGTGCAGGTTCTGGGTAGCCTGAAGCAAATCATGGAATTACTCTTCTCAACAAAAATCGAGCATTTTAGCATCTTTAAAATACTGAATGTAAGATCGTTATCAGTCAAAGTTCAAAATACTCCACAATAATCGTCATAAATCATAAATTGAGCCTAAAATTACATAATATCAATATAGTTCAGTAGATCCAGCAACTCAAATCACAATCAATCAAAGACAACTGAACCAAATATTTCACATCCAAAACTAATTTACCATCAACAACACTAAATCAAGGAGAATATCATCAAATCAACTTCAACTATCAACAAATTTGAATTTCAAAACCATATCAATGAAAAAAATATATCCGAATAATAAATTAAAAAAAAAATTGAATCTGCGAAAAAAGTCCTAAATTGTCGAATTGAAGGAACTCCAAACAACCAAATTCCAGAAAAAATAAATTAAAAAAATACCCTTTGAATTGAGTATGTCGAATTGAAGGTTCAATCTGACGACTAGGCTGACACGCCTACCACCACCATCTATGAGATCAAAAGGCGCTTCAATGGAGAATTCAGAGTACGGCTTGGTCGGCTTCAATAGAGAAAAGAGGATTCAGAGGACGACTACAATCTATTGCAGCATGAAATTAGGGTTCGATCCTACTTGAAGTGTAAAAAAAAAAATTAGGGTTTCGTTCTTTGATTCTTGAGCAAAAATGGATGAAACGGCTGAGTAAGTTCAGCGACCATGGAAGAGGGCTGAGTGAAGTTTAACGGGATTTCTGATTTTTTAGATGAGAGAGAAGGCGGGTGGATCCAAATTATATTCATTCTCTTGTTTTAGCACCTGGCCTTTCAAAGCTCAGTTACAAATAATTTGGTCAAATTTTGATTGACCTGGTATTTGTAGCAGACATATAAAAGGTCAGTTGCGGGTAAATAATTTAATTTTAAAATAATTATTATTAGTAGCGGGCATTGTTTTGCCAGCTGCGAATGTTATAGTAATTGCAACTGGCATCAAATAGGCCAGTTGCTAATATAAATTTTTACCTTTACACTTCAAGTATTAGCAGCGCTCATTACTACGCCAGTTGCTAATGACATAGTATTTGTAACTAACATTATTTTAGCTAGTTACAAATAGTGTTTTAGTAGCTAACATATATAATGTCAGTTGCTAATAGGGTGCTGCTAATAGCAATTTTTCCACTAGTGGGCATCTCAAATCGCCAACCTTAGAAAGGAGATGACATCAATCAAAGCCAAGCTTGAATCTCCCTCTTCACACCAAGCACATACCTCCCAATTTAAGGGGAGAGGTATGAATTATAATCCTTCTACTTCTACTTCTAATAAAATGCCTAGTGGGTGTCTCTTTTGTGATAAATGTGGCTCTTATGATCATGATACCTCTTCTTGCACTTATGATTCCCAACCTCAACCCCAATATTAGGATGATAACAAACTTGAAAATGAACATGTCAATTCTTTGTCTTATATATGATGATAGGCCTAGATATGACAATCAAAGGTATCTACCACCTAATCAAAGAGGGCAAGGGAAAAAATTCCTATAATCAAAGAAATAACGATTATGATTACCATAACCAAAACCAAGGAGGTAATAGGAACCAAAGGGACCAAAATCCCCAAGGTAACAAAGTGATTATGGTAACCATAACCATAATAATCAAGGAAGTCATGGGAATCAAAACCAATATCACCAAGGAGGAAATAATAATGCTTAGAACAATTGAAACAATAACAACAATATAGGGTTTTCTAATCAAAATGCTTCTAATTCCAATGTGAGAGATAAGAGCTCCCTAAGATCATTATTATGCACAAACACCTCCACATAGGTCTAATTTAGAGGAAATGATAGAAAGTCAAACAAAAATGTTCAACACTTTCATGGCCACTAGTGACAAGAATTTTAGTGATCAGGTAATGACTCATAATAAAATGCTTGAAACAAAAATTTCTCAATTAGCTAATTCTTTAAAGGAAGGGGCTAGCACTTCAAAAATTCCACCTCAAGGGCTAAACCCAAAGAGACCCATCAATGTTATAGCAATGGGAAGGTGTAGGAAGAGAGTGTCCTCAAGAAAAGCCAAGAGAAAGTGAGCATGAGTGAGCCTCCATTTAAGAGAGTGAGTTTGTGCATGAAGAAGAGAGAGCTTTTGAGAATGAGAAAGAAAAATAGAGTGAAAAAGATAAAGAAAGAGAAACCACACAATTGCAAAGACTTCCATAACCCCATAAGTTTGTGAGAAACAAAATTAATGTGCTATTTGGAAAATTTCTTGAAACATTGAAACAACTTCACCTTTCAATTCCTTTCACCGATGTTATTAAGCAAATGCCCAACTTTGGATAACTTTAATCATGAACAAAATTCCACCAAAGTTGAAAAATTCGGGTAACTTTTCTATCCCTTGTGCTATTTATAAGATGCAAATTAATAATGACTTGTGTGATCTTGGGGCTAGTGTTAGCCTTATGCCATATTCGGTTTATCAAAGACTTGAAATAGGGGAACTTTTACCTACAAATATTACCCTCCAATTGGCTAATCGATCGATTAAATTTTCAAAGGGTAAGCTAAAGGATGTTTCTTTAAGGGTGGGAAAGTTTGTCATTCCGGTGGATTTTGTAGTTTTAGAAATGGATGAAGATGCTAACATTCCTATAACTCTTGGTATGCCTTTTCTTGCTACTTCGGGTGCCTTGATTGATGTGAAGAGTGCCAAAATAACACTTAAAGCAGGAGATGGGGTCATAGAATTTGATATGAATGAAAGCATGAAATATCCATGTTCAACTTTGGAAAATTGCATGATGATTGATTCCATAGATAATATTGTGAATTTTATGCATGAGCACTTGCTCACTTTTAACGATGCCCTTGAGAATGTTTTATTGAACAAGGAAAAGATAGGTGATCAAGGCAAGGAGATGACATTGTGTGAAGAAATGCTTGAAAGAAGTATGGAGGGAAGCAATGAGCAAGTTTGCATAGGAATCACAAGCCAAGATGCATTTGAATTGGCAACAACAAAAAAAGGTAAGGATGTTCCAATGGTAAAACTCAAACCTCTACCAGCACACCTAAGGTATGTATTCTTAGGCCCTAACTCATTTTATCCGTCAATTGTGAATTCTTCCTTGAATGAAAGCCAAACTCAAATGTTATGTGGTGTATTAAGGAATCACCAAGGAGCTTTAGGCTATACCATTGATAACCTCAAAGGTATTAGTCCCGCTTTATGTATGCACTACATAACACTTGAGGAGGGTTCTAAGCCTTCCATTGAAAGGCAAAGGAAACTCAATCTTCAAATGGGGGAGGTGGTGAAAAAAGAAATCACCAAACTCCTTAATGTGGGCATCATCTTCCCCATTTCGAGTTCTAGACGGGTTTCTTCCGTTCATGTGGTCCCTAAAAAAGGGGGAATAACTGTAGTTGAGAATGAAAATGGTGAGCTCATTCCAACTAGAACGGTGACTGGTTGGAGGATGTGTATAGATTATAGCACTACAAGAAAACAACTTGATTCCGACGGAAAAAATCCGTCGAAGACATCGGAAATTCCGTCTTCCGACGGAATTCCGTCGGAATCAGTCTGTCGCAAAACCCTTTGTAGGAAATTCGACCTTTTCCAACGAAATTTCCTTCGGAAGGATAGTTTCCGACGGATTTATTTTTGTCGGCGCTTTTTTTGAGTTTAATTGAAATTCCGTCGGAGTTGAAGAGGTTTCCGACGGAAATTTCCGTCGTAAGAGGTATATTCCGACGGAAATTTCCGTCGGAAAAGTCAATAAAAAAAAAAAAAGACACCAGCCCCACTAGCCACCCTAAAAACTACCCCCACCCACCCAGACCACCCCCACCCACCACCCCCACAACCAGCCCCACCAGCCACCCTAATTGAAACCCACCCACCCAGACCACCCCCACCCACCACCCCCACCCAGACGACCCACCCAACACCCAACTAGACCACCCACCAAGACCACCACCCAAACCACCCACCCAAACCACCCATCACCACACCCACGAATCGAACCCCCCCACCCACCCAACCCAGACCAGACCAAAACCCACCCTAACCAACCCACCCACTGAAAAAACCCAGATCAAACAACAACCAAAAACCAAAACAACCACCAACCACCGAAACAACAACATCCAAAATCGAAACAACAAACAAAACAACAACCAAATCTCGAAAAAATTTAAATCAAACAAAAAAAAGAAATATACAATTATCTTCTGAAATTAAAAAAATTAACATTACAATTATATCAAAAATTAATTGTAATCAGAATTGTTTATACATTACATAATCCAGATCTACAAACTTAAATTTTAAAATCTATAATCTTACTTAACAATTTCCTAATGAACGACAATGAAGAACGAGACGAGGTGCTTGACGGTGAACGAGAACGACAATGACGATGGACGATGGTGGACAACGGTGCTTTGTGGTTGTGCTTTGACGGTGCTTTGAACGAGAAATAGAAGAAGAGAGGCGAGATAGAGAAGAGGATAGGAGAGAGAAAGAAAAGAAAAGAGGCAGAGAGATGAAGGAGGAGATACAATGAAGGAGGAAGAGAAGAGGAGAGGTGAAAAAAGAAAAAAGAGGCAGAAGAGAGGAGAGAGAAAACAGAAATGAAGTAGGGTTTCCGGGTTTTGTAGGTTTTTTTTGTTTTTTTTAAGTCAAAATTCCGTCGGAAAAGGGTTAAATACCGTCGGAAATTTCCGACGGAATAAACTCCGTCGGAATTTTCTACGGATTTAAAATCCGTAGGAATTTAATATGTTCTGACGGATTAATTTTCCGTCAGAATTTACAGCCTCCGACGGAAATTTCCGAGGGAATATTCCGTCGAAAGCGGTAACTTCCGAGGGAAAAAAAATCCGTCGGAATATTTTCAAGGGATTTTCCGTCGCAACTTATCTTTTCCGACGGACTTTTCTGACAGACCCAAATTCCTTCGGAAAATTCGAATTTTCCGACGGAAATTAAGTCCGTCGGAACGATTCCGTCGAAAAACGGCCTATTTTAGTAGTGTAGACGTCTAAATGCATCCACTATCAAGGATCATTTTCCCCTTCCTTTTATGGAACAAATGCTTGAAAGACTAATGAGGCACAATTATTATTATTTTTCAGATGGTTATTTAGGTTTCTTTCAAATTCCCATAAAAACCGGATGACCAAAAGAAGACAACTTTTACTTGTCCAGGCCATATGGTACTTTTTCATATAGGAGGATGCTTTTCGGACTTTGCAATGCACTGGCAACCTTTCAAAGGTGTATGATGAGTATCTTTGGAGACATTGTTAAGGCCGAAATGGAAGTATTCATGGATGATTTCTCAGTTGGAGACTTGGAGGGCTATCATTTGAAGATTGTTTCTCCAATATGGGCAAATGTTTAGCAAGGTGTGAGAAGGTCAACTTGGTTTTAAATTGCGAGAAATGTCATTTCATGGTAGAAGAAGGAATTTTCCTTGGTCACAAAATTTCAAGAAAGGGGATAGAAGTTGATAAAACAAGGGTTGAAGTGATCGAGAAATTGCCACCACCAATCAATGTGAGGGGAGTGAGATCCTTTTTGGGGCATGCCGAGTTCTATAGGAGATTTATCAAAGATTTCTCCCTCATTTCTAGACCTCTTAATGCTCTTCTTCAAAAGGAGGCCGGCTTTATTTTTGATGATAAGTGTCTTAATGCTTTCAACAAATTAAAGAAGGCTTTGATCACTTCTCCAATTGTGCAAGGGCTAAGATGGGATTTGCCGTTTGAACTCATGTGTG